GGAAAACGAGACAGAGGGGTTCCAAGAAAATGCTGGAAAGACTAACTGAAGGGCAAATTGACTCAGGCTGGCATCAACCCCAAACATTGGGAACAGCTTGCAGAAAACCATGCAGCATGGTGACTAACAACAAGAAGAGCAGCACAAGATTTTGAGATCACAAGACAAGAAGCGGCAGAAGAGAGGAGGAGATGACAAAAGGAAGCACGAGAGCAGGATCCAACAGGACCAGCTTCCTTCTTGTGCCCTTGATGTCCTAGGATCTGCCTATCAAGAATAGGACTGATAAGTCATTTGAGGGCATGCCTCCCCTGGCAGGACCTTCCCACAACTGATCCTTGGTTATGAAGAAACTGCCATTATCATCATCAATGATATTGTGGCAAGGCTGTATGTATCATATTAGAGATTCAGTTTTTGAGATCATGTGGAAACAGCATGTGTCCTTTAGAGTTCCCACACTACAATGCATTTTACTCTGAAAGAATAACTTGGCTTTTAGAAAACATCAAAAGGTATTATACTACAGCACAGATGGGCATGCATTTAGTTTCAATGACTAACTAACCTCGGCTGGGCTAGGAATGGCTGTTACTCCTCTCAGCTTGGGTGGAGAGAAACAGTACAAAAAACACATCTGTATTTGCAGGCTTACCTAGAGAAAAGGCTTCACCCTTTAACTCTTTAACTCCCAAGATCTGATTGTGAATTCTCCCCTCTAGCCGCTACACATTTCCTTGTAAGTTGGTTATGAGAATTTGGTGTTTGATGAAGGTCTTGAAGTATCTTGTACCTGATAAGTTTGAGTATTGTCACTACCTTTTTCCTGGATAAATTATGAATATAGGGAGAAGTTACACGTTAATCACTTCTGGGAGTTAAAGGCTTTAACACCTAACTTTTCTATATTTCTTGGTATAATTTACAAAATTTAGCTTATTCTTTCATCACAATGTTTAAGATACTCACAGAATTTTATAAATCCTAGTTAGTTACCTGTAAGTAAATGGAAATTACTTTCAATTTTTGTTAGGTGGATTAATAATTGTCTTGTATAGATCAGTGTGACAAGCTTAACATACTTTTTTGGATAAATTTAACTCAAAATCAAGATCTGTTTAATTTCCTTCCTCTCTAGGTTGGTAAAACTAGCTATTTGCTAAGTAAGATTTTTTACTGTGATCTAATATTAACTTTTTGTCGTAGGACAAAAACAGTGAGAATTATTGATTTCAATTTAACACTAATGCTTAGGGTTTAAAATACTACTGTATGCCATCTTAAGTATTTTAATGAAAGTGGTTGAAATTTCCTATTTAAATGAAAGGAGTGACTTAATAAATGCAGAAAAAGAGCAACTTTTGTGAAATTTTACATTTTGTTCCTAGGAGATTGTTGCCATGCAAGCCCACTCTTATCACTGATTATCACTTACAAATCCATTCACAGATGATAAAGATCCAATTTCAAACTAGATTTTAAATGATGTAGTGCAAATTTTGAATAATTTCAAAAAAAGAAGACTTGGCAAAGTCATTAGTGACCGGTGACCTAGCTAATAGACTATTAATGTTTCAAGACTTAAATTTGCTTAAGAGGCATCTGTGAACAAGCAACATATAGTGCATTGATTTGTCTAGCATTTCAGAGCTGTCCAGTCTATACCAAACCTCAAAAGGCAAGGAACGATATCAAGCAGTGAAATGCAGATGTGACCTTTGATCACCTCTACATTCCATCTTAGCGTACTTACTGGTGCTGTAGCAAAATGGATCCCCTTAATTCCCTGGGGGGGAGTGGCTGAACATTTAAATTTTCTGCTTTTATGGAACTCTGTGATGTCTGGTCTCACATTTAAGAGTATCACTGAATATTTCTTTCAATTGGTTAGTTATTTTCTTCAAGGCTGAGAGCAATATCTGTTGTTACTAAAGTCAATGCATTAATCTTGATAAGATGCTGCAACGTCTGTCCTCCCTTAACTGAAGGAAGAAATATAGAAAAATGGGAATGGGTGTTTGCAAAAACCTTTTCTAGCTTAATAGCTATTAAAATCAGGTCAAAGAAAGGGTCTGTTAAGATCAGTCAATCAATGCAATCATCAGCTGCTTATTTTCAAAAATCAATTTTATTTAATTTATATCACTTTATTCTATATCCACTTAACAAAATTTGCCAGCCATGAGCAGACATCAATCACGAATCTGTTCCAATACACCTGCTAACTACCGGTATCACACAGTTTTTCATCCTTGGCTAATAAACTCAATGCTATTTCACAAATTTGACTTGAAGTTACCAAAACTTGAATGAGTCTGAGAAGAGAAAATTATCATTGAATGACCATACTTTCCCTGAATACTTCCAACCTAAGATGGAAAGGTACTAAAGAGGACATCTTTTGACATTTTCTTAGTGTTGATGCAAGTCTTCAGGCTCTTTGATACTTATTTGAAATTAAAGATGCCCAACAAAATCAATTATCTTGTACTTTTGATTAACAAAAAAAAAACCAAAAAACAATTGAATTTTAAGCAATTTGCAGGTATATCATCAAGTAAAGGAAATTGTGTTGGTATCATGCAGCTTCAAGATGATGAGACTTTCATGCTATGTAAAAAGCCCAAGAAAAAATCGTAATCACAGTGATAAAACATATTAAAAAATTTTTCTCCTAAGAAACTTTATATAAATCAGCCAAGGCCTATTGGCAACAAGTAATGTTCCCACCACTGTCATTCAAGTTCCACATTTCCAAGTTTATACTATATTGTATTTTGACGTGCAAATATTCCACAAGTGATGAAATGTTATTTAACCCTTAAAACCCTTGGAGTGACCAGCGTCTAATTTCTCCTTACTGTAATACTGCTGAATCATTCATTTAGATCATGAGAATAAAGGAAATTATGTTAGGGTGCAAAGGGTTAAGATTAACTGGAATTAAAGAAACTACAGAAAAAATGAGCCTAAAAAAATTAGCACCTAATTGGGATTTGCACAAGTGCCCATCAGCTACAACTTAATTGGACACATGATTCTCACAGATCACAGCTTGCTAATCGCCTTGTTCATTGTTGCCATGGAAACAGAATTTGTGATCCAACTACCACCGTCTACCACCAGTGTGTTTGCTGTGATAAAAGCTGAAGCACCACTCGCCAGGAAGAGTACACTATCTGCCACATCTTGGCGAGAAACCAGTCTTTGTAAAGGTATATTCTCAATGAAGTTTGGTGGGAGATGTTTGCCACCTGTGAAGATGTAGTACAGTTAAAGCTTCCTTCCGACTTAAAGTGAAAGAAAATTGTGAAGTGCACTACCTTGTAAGTGGAACAGGGATTAAGGTAAATTAAATGTTAAACATTGAGTATGAAAAATCTTTAGACCAGCTTTCAGCCAGGAAAAGTATTAATTCTTTAAATAATTGTACATATCCAAAATTCATTTCATTTTAAGCGATAAAATGTTTATCTCAGCCTTACTTTAGAATCTTAAAACCTATTATAACAATGTTAATTAAAAGCTTTCCACATGTCTGCCAAACACAGGTTGCTTTTGCTGAAACTTTGGATGCTAAAATTGTTTCTGTTCACCATAGTAATCAAAACAGTTGCAACCCAGGCCTCTGTTCTGTTCTAAGCTTATGAAAAGTATATGATATGAAACTTAAATTAGGTGCAGGTGAAATATACGGATTCTATTTCCAACTGTAATTCTCTGTAATTTGTTACCTAGTCTACGGAAACCCTCTGTGTCCTTCACAGCACCAGGAGCAACACAGTTTACCCTCACACCATCTGGGCCCCATTCAACAGCAAGATGTCTTGACATACCCTCTGATAAAGAGATAAGAAACAGATTATCAGGGATTAAAGGGTATGAGAAAACATCTGAAATCTTAGCCCTGCTGAACCCTCTCTGACTGCCAGATCTCATTAGCCGTAATTTTCCTTACTGTCTGCCATACAAGTCTCATGATGTTGGTTCAGAGAATTTAATACTGGATCAACTGATATTCCCCAAGTATAGATTTTTTTTGTCATTACTGTTTCATAATCCTCTTCATGATATTGTACTGATATCATGAGGAAAAATTCTGTCTTGGCCACTTAGGGAAGTAAAATGGTTAATGGCAGGGATTTTTTTTTTTTTGAGTCCTGAACGTAAAAATTTGACTAAAAAAATGTCTCTGTGTGATAAATTAACATATAAGGTGGAGAAGGAAATTATTCTCTAAGCAGCAGTTACAGTAATAAATTGTGCAACTCAGAACTTTATTTAAAGACAAAGGATTAACAGTATTTGAATAGTATGAAAAAGGTTCTTTGTTGACACAAATGTTTACAATAATGTAATCATATGACCTCACCAATTGCAGCTTTTGCACCTCCAGCATGACACTAATTGAGAAAAAAATTTTTTAAATGCTTACTCAAATGAGTACTTAAAATTACAATCCTTTCATTTTCCAAATTGACCAAAAGGGAATTTCTCCTCACAAGATTGATACATTTTCATGCAAAAAGGTAATGAAAAGAAAGAAAAATATCTAATAAGAGATACTGTTTGATTTAACACCAAGTTCTCAGTGCTAAAAATAGAAGTAATGAGTTGTAGACCATATGACAAATTGTCTGATACTCAGACCGGAATAATGGAAGCTGGTTTACTTACTTGATCATTTCGGTATTTTTTATTATAATATTATTTACACCCCATTCAGGGAACACAAACTTTGGTCCCAGAAAAATGTTCAATAATATCTTGGTATCCATTACCTCTTTTGAAGAGACTCCTCTATTCAGGGGATTAGAACACTTTTTCTGGGTCCTAAAGCCTGATTTAACACCCATTCAGGGGACACCTCAACCAATAAAAATGTGACTGACCCCAAAGATTAAGTGTACACTAGTCACAATGATGACAGCTTTCACAATATGACCTTTTTAACAACACACATCATTTGATGACAGAGATTTTTTTGCTATAGGATAATGAAGATGATGATTTTTTGTGGTAAATTATTAACAAACTCCAACCTCTTTTTAGGGGACACTTGCCCTGGTCCCTGGGTGTCCCCTGAATGGAGGTTCCACTGCAGTTGAAATAGGTAAATTGTGTAAGGGTCATACTCCAAACAGTTGACCATAAATCTACCTGTTCCAGTTATACAGCAGACAAAGCCTTTTTGTATACAATTACTACAGACCTGCAGAGGGTGTCCATTGTGATGAAGTGTGGCTGTGATGTTGATGATGTTACCACTGCCATTATTCTAAAAATAGTATTTCCAGGCACTATAAATTTCATTGGTGACAGTGCAAATACAAAAGAAATACCAATTTACTTAGTGGATTCTACCTTATGAAAAATGTCAGTGAAGCATACTGCTCTGGGATTTCTTATTTCCTAACGCAAGCCACAATAATTACTCTGTTGCTGAGAGCCAAATGAATTTGATTTGATTCTTAACAAGTCAGTTCTGCACCCGCAAATCACATTCAAGTTTGGCCCATCAAAGTAAACCTAAAAATCAAAAACTAACAACCAAAATTGTTTTTTGGAGTTTTCTGAGTTTCACAGTAATATCACAGTTAACTAAGTCCTCCATCAATTTCTTGCTTACAAGCACTGGCTGGCTGTGGCTATCAAGGTAACTGTTTTTTTAATCCTTCTACTAAAATGGGTAAAAATGATCCAGATCCAAACTGAGTAAAATCTGCAGATTGGTTCAAGCTTATTATTAATTGCACTGTTATTTCAAATTTTACTGTCAGTGTTTCTAATGAGTAGACATGCTTATTCATCAATTAAGGATGTAAACACAGCCGGTATTGAATACTGAAGGTAAAATCATACTTCTAGATAAAAAGTGTTCTCTCCAGTTAATTAAAGAAACAATCTTACCTTAAAACATTTGTTATACACAGCTTTACTCACATTGAAGGTTCCGAAAGCATCAATGTCAAAAACTATAACATCACAAAAAAATTGTTAATAATAAACTATTACAGTATGTTGTTGACAAAAAAAACTCCATAAGTCCATCATGTAATCTGTCAAGTTGGGTTTGTCTACCCCTGAAGAGGATAGTCTTCAGTGAACTGACTGCATGGTGCCTGGACAATCTGAGTGGAATTCATTATCAGAGGCAAACGATCAGAGTATAACTTCCACTCAGGTTGTGGGGAAAAAAAAGCATCTGATCCATTTACTTCCACAGACAACAGTCCTCTATTGAGGATCAAACAAGAGAACAATATACAAAATCAGCTTTCACTAAAAATTAAAAACTAATCAAGTCATTTTTAATGCTCACCTGTTTTCAATCCATTGTATGAAAGCTGGCTTGCAGGGCATAGAAAATTTCCTGCTGCACCTAAAGGGAAACAAATTGGAATGAGACTTCTGTGCTTTGTTCAGAACTTTGGTGGATTTTAATGTCTAACCTAATTTTTAATTTTTGGACTTAAACTTTTAACCCTTAGGAGTGACGAGCATCCATTTGCTCCCTACAATATCACCACTGAATCACACACTAATTTCATGAGAATAAAGGAAATGATCACCAACTAAAGAAACTCTTGATTGTTGGACAAATTTTCTGTGTCAGCACTTTAGTAAATGTACAGAGAACAGTATGGAGAATATGAATTCTGATAATATAAGGAAATATCCATTTTAGGTCACTCATTTGGTAGCTACAAGCAGCCTCTCCTTTTCAGCAAAGTACTACATGTGAGTACAAAAAAAATCAGAGTAAAGAGTGTTAGTGTGCTGGGCAAAACTCAGAGCTCCATGCAGTGCACTTAACATCAATCTTTATTTTGGTGGTTTTTTTAACTCACATAATGAACTTCATTGAAAAGGAGGATTTATCTTAGTCCACTCATTTGGTGAAATACAACTAAAAACTTTAAAGTCTATTTTTCCATTGGTGTCTGTGACTCAGATTTGACTCAAACTTGAACCGATTTGGCTCAGATGCAACATAATAATGTGATTCTTCCTCCAATCTTACAGTTGATACTTACTATTAACTAAAATATCTATTTTTGAGAAATGTTTCAGTGCCATGTCTACTGCAGCATCAACTTCATTCACCTGGTGATCAACAAATAGAACTTAAAACACTATGTTAAATGAGAAGTATAAAATTGCCTCACCACAGCCAAGGAGGGGGCATTTGTTTGAAGCCCCCACCGAGCCCTCTCCAGAAATTCTAGAGGAGTGGGTATAGGTATTTTCTTGAACAACACCTTTGATTACCAGTTTTGCATTTTTTTTTTTTGCTCTCTTTCTATTACAACTACACCAAAAAGCACAAGTTTCTGAATATTCTATGGCAGTATTAATAAACAACTGTGAAGACTACAAATGGAATGAGCAATTGCTCAATCATTAGCACGGTCTGCTTCTAGCTTCAAACCATTTACTGGATTGGAGTATGTAGTAAGTTTCTTTGCATAGCTAGGATGCAGAAAAATGGCTTAATATTAAAATATGCAAAATTTAAATGCTATTTGGCACCCTGATTATTTCTTAATCAATTTATGTCACAAAAACAAAACAGAGTTAATCCTTTAATTCCCAAGATCTGATTGTTAATTCTCCCTTCTAGCTTCAACTCATTCCATGGTAAATTAGTTAGGAGAATTTGGTGATAGATCAAGATAACTTCTACCAGTCTAAGTTTGAGTATTCTCATTACCTGCTTGCTCCATTATGCATGAATATTATAGGGAGAAGTAACATGTCAATCACTTCTGAGAGTTAAAGGGTGAAGGCCTGAACATATTTTTACTCTGAGAAAACTTTTTAAAATTGTCAGTGAGAGCAATTTGTAACCTCGAGAAATAATCATGTACGAAGATGTTTCCATTTACTGCACCTTTCTCACATCAACCTTTACTGGGAGACATTTCTGTCCTGTCACCTCTTCCAGTTTCTTAGCTGCCTAATTTTGTTCACAAAAAGAATAATGAAAATATTAAGCAAAGTTCTTATATAGTTGTCACGCTGACTGTGGTAAAGAAACCCATAACTACATCAAAGAAATCAAGATTCCAAACTAAAGCCTATTGCTGCCCCTGTGAGTCACACATTGTCCCAGTATAAGTGTTGTCATGTTCCAAAAACATACCAGTCTAGAACTCAAACTTAAGTGTACTAACTCAAGTCACCATTTAGTGACCTAAAATCATGAAATGCTAGCCAGAAATAAAATTGTACTCACCAGAAAAATGAAAAGAGAAGGAAAAAGAGAAAAAGGAAATGACATTTTGTGAAACAATATGTTTTATGCAAATGCTTGACCCTCTTCACTTTGGGAACTGTACCACAAAATACATCTAACCAAAATTTTTTTTTCTCTTCAACATGGTGGCCAAACTTTTGCAGCTTGGAGCACTGCAGTTGCTACTCCAGTGGAGAGCCTCTGACAAACAATAGTCGCCTTAGACATCTCTCTATGAACTTTGACATTGATTTAAGTTTAATTTATTTCATTCTCGGCAATATTTAACCAAACTGGCCCAGCTCAGCTGTAAGCTGGTTTGAATGGGGGCCTGTCAAAATTTATCCTTATACTGCTTTGTAATGATTACTAGAACAGTTACTATGAAGACCTCTTTTCAATTTATTACCTTTTTAAGTCTGTCAAACTTCCGACCCACTATTACAGCAGAGCAGCTGTGTCTAACAACAATGAAAGAATTAAATGGAAATGAGAAGCACCTGAGTCATTTTCTGGATTTCTATTTGTAGTTTGAGCAAGAGATTGGTAGAAACTGGAATCATCTCAGGCACCAAACGTTAATTATAGGCCGTCTTAGTGCCTCCTAAGAAAGGTGACTGAGTTGGAATCAGCAGGTCCCCTCAGAAACTTGGTTAATGAAGGGCGTGTGGGGTGAAGGGAAAATTGGCGGGGTATAATCATCGCCCTACCTCATCAGAACTTCAGTAATAGTAAATCCAATACCAGAACCACCTCCCGTGATAAACGCCACCTTCCCCTGGAGAATGTTCGGACGGAAAAAGTAATCATAGTGATCAAGACAAGCAATGTCGCTCTCCAGCACCGCCTCCGCCATCTTGGAATAACTTTGAGGCCACGTGAGTTATAAGGGGGGAGTAGTGGGAGGCGCGCGATGCATGTTTGGTACTCAAGGGAACATGGCGACGGCACTGAGTTTTGGTGAGGGCGAGTTATAGTTAACCTTACTTTCGTTACTTTTTTTTCTTTGACTTTCGAAGCGTTTTCAGTTTGAAAATTTTCCTCGATTTTGTAAGTGCCTGCATAAAAATTTATGTGTGGATAAATCTGCAGGGTCGGTTCCCTCGTTTTATCGCGAGGTTTATCAGATAGTATGTCCCAATCAAGAAGAGAGGATCGAGCGTGATATGTTTGTGAAGATCTTAATGAAATCAAGCCTGCCCAAACAATCGTTAAGTCAGGTAAAGTATAAGACGTATTTAGCTTGTTTATTTCGTTCTCTATGAATGCAAATAAATGACAGGAGAGACGTTCGTCTTAGCTTTTAAGTAAACCTAGCGTAACATCGTTGACCATTTATTTACGTTTTGCGTTTTGTGCCCTCGTAGTTGTACTTTTGATATATTACAATTAAAAATCGCGACTTGTCTCACCCTGCTAATTAAGAGCTTTTTCATGCCCAGTTGGATCAAAGATCGTCAGATGAGAGCAGAATTTTTGTCTTCCTCGTTTGTGTAGGATCTTTGTGTTGGTGTGTCGGTTTGGGTCACGCAGTACAACACGAGGTGTAATTAATTTACTAGCTCTTTAAACTAGGATCTAATATCCATGAAATTTATATAATCAGCCATCTCGTAATATGAGCATCTAGTCGATCAGCTGTTTCTTGTATAATAATAACAATACATCCTGCATGGGATCCTTGTAAATTGATATTTTTTTAGTGCAAGTTGTTCTGTTCATGCTAACTTTTGTATTAGCTGAAGAGTGGGATCCCAAGGGACGAGGCTATTGTATTTTACATCCTTGGTCTTTTCAAACCCTGGATAAAATCAGTCAGTGATGTACCTATTCCAAGAGGAAAAATCTATTATTCCATAGATCTTAACATATCATAATTATCGTTTGTAAGTCCAGCCCCAATGGGCAAAAATAATAAGTGTACCTTTACTGGTAATAACATTCTTTACTGATTGATTGATTTAATGACATTCTAATTTGATTGATTGATTGATTGATTAACTGATTGATTGATTGCTGGATCTTTTGAATTGCACTTCAAGTTACTGAAATCTCATTTTTTACATTTGAACTAATTCCACTTTTTCTTTAGCCTCCTCCACAAAAAAGAAAATGAAAAAATTACACTTTTCATTGTTATAAGTCCATTGAGTCTTTTTTTCTTTTAATTCAGATTTGGGAAGCTGTTGATCCAAGGCAAGATGGATATGTTACAAGAGATGGATTATACAAGGCACTGGCCTTAACTGCTTTAGCACAACAGGGAAAAATTATATCAGAGAGAGCATTAGAGCAATTTGTAGATTCAGGTATGGTTATTTGACAATTTCCTTTGGCAGAGTTTTGAAAAAACAATTCTTCGGTGTAAAAGAAATATCAGTCATAACACATTTGGTAAAAACCTTTTCTAATAATGACTCAATCTATAAGGCCAAGTAGGGTTGAAGGCTGAACAATGGATCATGAGTACCTTTGAAACTAACCAACTTTGAAACTTTCCACTTTAATTGATATTTGTTTATAATGACTGTTATTAACGTATCACAGAATTGCCAAAGCCTTCTTTGGGGGACCTGTCAGATCTGAAAAGTCTGAGTGTGCGTCAAAGGCGTGAAAACAACCCAAATGTTTTGGGTTATAACTATGATGAACTTGTGAGTTTGGACACAGTAGATGTAGAGCTTGTACCAGAAAAGAAAGGAATTCTTCTAAAGCACAATGAATATCATGTTTCTAGCAAGGTGAGACCAAATAATTAAAAAAATATACAATCAAGCCTGTATTAAGGGGCACTGTATTAGTTGGTCACCCTGTATCAAGTGGTTGGTTGTCAAAGTCCCCAGTGTGTTTCCCCTTAATCACTGTAATTTCTCTTGTGTTTCCCCTTAACTCTTTCACTCCTAGAAGTGATCAACATGAAACTTCTCCCTACAATATCCATACATTCTTCAGCAAACAGGTAATGAGAATATTCAAACTTATCAGGTAGAAGCTGCTATCATGATGTAGCACCAAGTTCTCATAACTAATTTACAAGGAAATGTGTGGCAGGTACAGGGCAGAATTAACAATCAGATCTTGGGAGTTAAAGGGTTAATCACTGTAATTTCCACCTCTTATAAGTAGTCACCTCTATTAAGCAGTGGCCATCACCTCTGAGTGAGTTCCAATAGCCTGTTTCTATTCTCTTTTACTTGTATTTAACAGTCACTTAAAGGCAAACTACTCAGGCAAATAAAACTAAGAATAATCTTCAAGATTATTTTTGTCAGGGAAAAATTTGAAATAAGAAGCTTGCAAATGTAACTTCTAGCATTCTGGGCATCAAAGAGAGTGCCTGCAGGCTGTGCAGATTGTGATGACTGGTCTTAAAAAAAGAGGTAGACCACCGGTCAACCGCTTTAATCAACATTCCTGAAAGCTGCAATCAAGGACTGTTTTTCCAAGCACCCAAATAGATTGACCAATAGCTAATAAAATAAGTAAGAGGTGACATGTTTTTGCTAGTTGTAATCTGGCATGTTTTCTTTCGTAATGTTTATGACAAGTCACTGAATAAATGAAGTTAGATAAATACTTTTTTCTTTGTCCATCTTTTCAGAAACATAACTGTACTGTAAATCGTCGCTACAACGACTTTGTTGCCTTCCATGACATGTTACTAGCAAGGTTCCCATACCGTCTCATTCCGACACTTCCTCCAAAGAAGCTTATGGGAGGTATGTTTGAATTAAGAAATTACATGATAAAATTATATTTGGAGCAATAAACTCTGAGTTATGCTAGCTGGACCATTGTAAAAGATGTCTTGTCCAGACATACAATTTTTGGTAAAGCTTGGTAGTTTGCTTGG